TGCTGCCTGCCTCACAAGCACAAGGTCCTGAGTTTGATCCCTGGTACTGGAAAAAAAAATTCCTCAACAAAATGCTAGAAAATTGCATCAAGCAGCATATAAACAGGGTTCTAAACCATGATCAATTGGGAGTTATTCCTGTAATGCAAGAATGGTTTAACATATGAAATCAATCAATGCTATTTACCTCATTAATAGAATGAAGGATTAAAAACCCAGATGACCAGCCGGGCATGGTGGTGCACACCTGTAATCCCAGCACTCGGGAGGCTGAGGCAGGAGGATTGCTGTGAATTCAAGACCAGCCTGAGCTACATAGTGAATTCCAGGTCAGTCTCAACTACATAGTGAGACCCTGTCTTAAAAAGCAACAACAAAAAAACCTCCACATGATCATTTCACTTGATGCAGAAAAAACATTTGAAAAAGTCAACACTGTTCCAAGATAAAAAAAAAAGTAACAAACTAAATATAGAAGGAAACTACCTCAACACAGTAAAATTCATATACAAAGACCCAAAACCTACAGTGAGCTGCATCCCCAAGGTGACCAGCAAAAGCTTCCCCTCCGAGGTCAGGAACAAATCAAGGGTGCATACCCACAGCTCCTCCCTCAGTGCTCATGACAAAGAAACTGGGCCATAAAAAGTGGCAGAAGTCATGCAAGCTGGAAATGAAGTAGAGTGATTTCTGTTTGATCACACACACGGGCGCGCGCGCACACACACACACACACAGAATTTTCTGTGATACTCAGAATTGAATCAGGATCTCTGATGAACTATATCCCTATCTATCTATCATCTATCTATCTTCCATCTGTTTATATTTGAAACAGGGTCTCACTAGGTTGACAGGCTGGGCTCTAACTTGTGATCCTCCTGCCTCAGCCTCCCAGAGTGCTAGGATTACAGGTGTGCATCAGCACATCTGGCTGATGATATGCTCTCACTTGATCTTAGCCAAAAGGCTGAGAAGCAATTATGATATGCTCTCATATGTAGAAAACCTTAATGATTCCACAAATACTGTTACAACTAATAAACAAATTAAGCAAAGTGGCAGGATACAAAGTAACTCATATAAACCAGTTATATTTCTATATAATAATAATAGGCAATCCAAAAAGGAAATTTAGAAAATATCTTACTTACTAGTCTACCAGAAGAATAAATATTTAGAGACTAATCTATGAGGTGGAAGACTTATACAGTGGAAATTATAAAACATTTGTGAAAGATATTAAACAAGAAAATAATTAATAAAAGAACAGATATTTTATATTCATGGATTAGGAGACATAATACTGTTAAGATGGCAATATTACCAAAATTGATCTAAAGATAGTACAATTCTTATTAAAATCCCAGTTTAAAGAACCATTCTAAATGCGTTTGAAATCTCAGGGAACCCTAGATATCAAAAACAATCTCAACAAACAAAGCCAGAGATTCCTATTTCCTGATTTCAAAACATACTACAAAGCTACAGTAATCAACACAGTATAGCACTGCATACAGGCATGGCACGTGGCTCTCTGTAGGACAGAGTCCAGAAATTAGCCTTCACACAAATGGCTGAAGATTTCAACTAGCGTTCCAAGATCATTCACTGGGGAAAAGGCAGTTTTTTCAACAAATGGTCCTAAGAAAACTATATATCTACATGCAAATGATGATGTTAGATCCTTACCTTACACTATACACAAAATAAATTCAAAATGTGACCTAAACATGAGAAAACCTAAAACTGCAAAACTTTTAGAGGAAAGTATGGGACTTTAAACTCATGACATTGGAATTGGCAAGGATTTGTTGGATCTGACATCAGAGGCATCAGCAATAAAAAAAAAATGATAAATTGGATTGCATGAAAATTTGAAGTTATTGTGCATTGAAAGATACTACCAACAGAATGAACGTGGACTGCAGAGGATGGAAGAAAATATCTATAAATCATATCTGATAAGGATTAACATCCAGAATATATAAAGAACTTCTAAAACAACAACAACAACAAAAATCAAACATTAAACATGAGCAAAAGACTTAGACATTGCTGTAAAACAGATGCAGGAATGGTCGATAAGCAGATGAAAAGATGGTCAACCTCACTGACCATTAGGTTAATGCATAGAATGGTGCTGGTGAGGTTGTGGAGAGAGGGGAAGTCCTGTACCTTCCTGGTGGGAGGCAAAGTGCTGCACCAGCTGTGGAAAACGGGATGGTGGCTCCTCAAAACAAGTGTAAGTAGAACCACTGACTCCGCTGTTCCATGTCTGGCATGGATTCGGACGACCTGAGGCGGGGTCTCGAAGAGGCGTTTGCGTGCTGCCTGTGTCCACAGCAGCGGTATTCCCAACAGTTAAGTCACGGGAGCAGCCCGTGTGCCCAGCGGCAGCTAAGTGCGCAAGCCAAATGGGAAGTGGGCATAGTCTGCGATGGCGCATCATTCAGCTGTAAAGGGACGGAGCCGCTGCTGGTGCCACGCTGTGGCTGGGCCTGGAGGCACTATGCTGACAGAGACTGAGGCACCAAGTGACAAACACAGTACGGTCCCCTCACACGAATCACCTGGGGCCGCTGCAGTCACGGCAACAGGGTGGCAGCGTGGCTGGCAGGGGCTGGCAGGGGCTGAGGGTACTCGTTCGGTGGGTTTCAGCCTCCCCAAATGGAGAGTTCCAAATGTAGATGGTAGTGATGGTTGCAGAAAGACAAAATGTGCTTAACACCCCTGAACCGCGCACTTAAACATGAATAAGACAGTAAATTTTATGCTATGCATGTTTTAGCACAATAGACAAAATTGTATGTTTGTGTGAAGCTCTTGCTAAACAATGGAAAGATACACACCAGCTAGAAACATGGCAGAAATCACAGTCAGGCAAGTCACAGTGAAACCACACGTCAGTGACCAGATAATGTTACAGGGCATAAAACCAAAGACAAGCAGAACAAACCCACACCAGGCAGCGCTATCCCCTGCAGGGTGGGCAAGTTGGGAAAGACCACAGCAGCATCCACTGCACAGAGGCCTGATCCTGTCCTGCTTCCTGGTGGGTTCTGACCACTGCCTTGAGGCCCTCAGGTGCAGGGACCCTGGCTTTTGGTCTGCGGGATGTTCCCCCCTTCACTACTGCCCACGTTCACGGTACCCTGCGGCAGGGATGGCACCCAGGCCATGGTAAGCAGCAGCCAGGGCCACGCCAGGGTGTGGTGTGGCACATACCAGGGTCCCTGGCTTAGCATGGATGTGAGAGAGGATGGAGCAGAGCTGATCTCTGGAGCACGGGGCCCTGGGGAAGTAAAGGGTCCGATCTTCGGAGTTTTCCCTGCATAATCACATTATGCAAAGCTGTGTTTTGGGGCTTTGGGGCTGTGAACAGTCTGTCTAACTGAGCTGGGGACCCTGGCAGCCTGCTGGGCAAGATGCACAGTTGCTTTCCAGCCCGCCCTGTTCTCAGAGGCAGAGGCCCACGCAGATCTCCAGCCCTCTCAGGGTTCTGGCCTGTTCTCTGTCCTGGACCCTGGGAGCTGCATCCGGAGGCCCTGCAGCCCTAAAAGACCTGAATTCCCTCCAAAAGACAGTGTCCCCGACAATGTAACGGGTGCTGCCTGGGGCTCTAAGGAACTGGGGCTCACCCTGCCTTTCCCACCCCACCCACGCCACCATCTCCAGTAGAGGGGCAATATCTGAGCAGCTGTGTCCCTGACTGTGTGGCCTGCAGAGGGTACCCAGGGGCCCTTCAGCCTGGTGCAGGCTCCTGGCCTACCCTCCCTCTCCCTCAGAGGGAAGGCAGCAGCGGCTTTGCCTCCTGGGCTCAGGGAACTGAGGCAGCACACAAACCCAAATTCTTCTGGGGGGTTAAATGCAACCTGGCTGCCAAGTCAGAGCTGCTTGTTGGGAGAAAAACAACAGGAAATCAGTGGCTCGCAGGCCTTCTTTTGGGGTGCCTGGTCCTCCCTGGGCACGGGCTCCATGCCCCTGTACATGCAGGTCCACGGTTACCCTGTGTGGAAACTAGCAGCAGTAGAGATGCTTCCAATGTCTCCTTCCCACCCATGGGTGCTGGGCCCTGGAGCTCCGCTGCTGCCCCTGGGGTCCCAGGGTGGGTGTGGGGTGGGGTGGGGTACTGCTCCCCCGGCCCCCCTCTTCCTCGGTCACCCAGGCACACTCCAGGGCAGGGCTGGTGGGGGAGGGACTGTGACCTGCCCTGTCCCCCCCAGGACACGAGGACCCCTCCTCCTCCGCTGCCCAGCGCCCCCTCCTCACAGCAGGAGGCGTGCACCCAGGTACCCCGCGCCCGATGCTGGGGTTCAAGCGTGGGGTGTCCTCCCAACCCACGAAGTCCCCAAGGCGGAGACCCCAGGCCTTGGACTGAGGGTGCCTGGTGGCCTGAGGAGAGACAGAAGTCTGTGTTCGGGGTTAGGGGCTCCCACCTTGCCCAGAGACTGAGGGGAGCTGGGGCAGTGAAGCCAAGACAGCCCTGAGCAGGCGCGGACAGGAGGCGCGGACAGGAGGCCCGGACAGGAGGCCCGGGCGGCGCGGCTCCAGGGCGGGACGCCCCAGGCCTTGGACTGAGGGTGCCTGGTGGCCTGAGGAGAGACAGAAGTCTGTGTTCGGGGTTAGGGGCTCCCACCTTGCCCAGAGACTGAGGGGAGCTGGGGCAGTGAAGCCAAGACAGCCCTGAGCAGGCGCGGACAGGAGGCGCGGACAGGAGGCCCGGACAGGAGGCCCGGGCGGCGCGGCTCCAGGGCGGGACGCGGGACG